GTTTCCTCTTGCGATGATCATCCACTTGGATGAGAGCAAATAGCAAGGAGGTGTCCCTGGAGCAAGCATTGGAGGAAGATGACGCTGAATCCTAGTACCATTAGGATCTCCTTACTTTAACTTTTTTGCATTTTAAAAACTGTAATATGTTGAACCCATGGTATGTGGGCAGACTTGAGTACATTTGTTTCGCTTCTTAGTATTTTAAGGATGACTGTAATCCTAATATTCAGATTTATGTTTTCAACTGCTTCTATTATTATAATCTGGTGACGTCTTTATTATATATACACACCGTATATTTTGGGATGTCACAAATAACAATAACAACAATAATAATAATAACAATTATAATAATAATAATAATAATAACAATAACAATAATAATAACAATTATTATTGTTGTATACTGTTAAAGTATACTGTTAAAGTGAAAGTGTGTGTGATTCAATGGTATGATTGGTGATTCAAAGTATGTGGTTTTAAAAAGTATGGTTGATGGACGTAATTCCATGATCTTCAAGGAGAAGATCCATGGTGGTGCCCTTAGTTGTTTAGAATGAAAGTAGGAGCTCAGTCTTAGGGGTCATCCTAAAACTCCAATGGTCTTTCTTCTCACGTAGAGAGGATTGAGCCATGTGGTGAGGAGTAGCAGGAGGTCTTAGTCTTGGGGGCTTCCAGTATGCCTCAAGGCCCGGAACAGGCTAACCTCGTGAGTGTGGTAGGGTGGGGGAACCCAAGTTTCATAAGCCACCACGAGCGCAAGACCCGCCATAGCTCGACTATCATTCTAAAGTCCAGACAAGTCAAGTCTAGTATTCAACATGTTAGGATGCGTGTTTACCTTGCTTGATTGAAGTTAACTCTTGCATGCATATTGTCATATTGTATGCTTTTTATATAATTAGCTCACCCTTGCTTGTTGAGTTCGTGCTATGGTTGGGTATGTTTCCTCTTGCGATGATCATCCACTTGGATGAGAGCAAATAGCAAGGAGGTGTCCCTGGAGCAAGCATTGGAGGAAGATGACGCTGAATCCTAGTACCATTAGGATCTCCTTACTTTAACTTTTTTGCATTTTAAAAACTGTAATATGTTGAACCCATGGTATGTGGGCAGACTTGAGTACATTTGTTTCGCTTCTTAGTATTTTAAGGATGACTGTAATCCTAATATTCAGATTTATGTTTTCAACTGCTTCTATTATTATAATCTGGTGACGTCTTTATTATATATACACACCGTATATTTTGGGATGTCACAAATAACAATAACAACAATAATAATAATAACAATTATAATAATAATAATAATAATAACAATAACAATAATAATAACAATTATAATAATAATAATAATAACAATAATAATAATAATAATAATAATAACAATAATAATAACAACAATAATAATAACAACAATAATAATAACAACAATAATAATGATGATAATAATAATAATAATAAATAAACAAATAAATAAAGATAGGAATTCACACAAAAGTTGAATACTTCATAACTATTAAAATAAAATCTCATAATGTAACTAATTATAAAAATTCAAAAGAATTCACAAATAATTATTATAAACAATAATGAGTATCTAATTTTGCAATGCCAAATTTATTTTCAACGTTTAGGATTCAACATTAAACAGCGAAGGTAAAAAGTGACTAGTAAATAAAAGTATTAACTAGATGTCGATTGCCTACTTTTTTTACGTCATAAATCACATTTAGGCGTAGGTGGTCCATGTATCTGACGTCTAAAACCTATTAGACGTTGGCGGCTAGTCAAAGAACAAATGTCTAACTGTACTGAGTCATTAAAAATATAAAATTGAAAAGACATTTTTGTACTAATTTTACATTAGTGGGTCAGAGTTTGACGTTTAGTGGTGTTCAAATTAATAAAAAAATTAAGCACAAAGTAATTTAAGAGAATCATTAGACGTCGACTGTATAGGTAATCTGATTTCTAATAGGTATATGACGTTGGTGTTGGGAGTAACCAACGACATGTCCTTTTATGAAAAAAATAGTGAGAAAGAACATTTCACTCAATGTTTTTGTGCACTCCTTCTTCAGTACGTTTCAAACGTCTCCAATAAAGCTTTCGACGACCACCAAATGTAACATTTTGGTTAGACAATTTTCATTATATTCAACATTTTCTTCCACTTAACATAAATGTTCGTTGATTGAATACTTTATGTATGATTTTCTTTCATTTTGACCAATTGGCTTCATGCATAAACACAATTTGAAGCATCATCGAGTCCTCTTTTCTCCTTTACCGGCAATGACTCATTACCTCGGTTGCAAATCCACCCTCAAGATTAGTTTCGGTTTTTCTTTTTTATGTATATTGTACTTTGTTTATAAATTGGTTGTTGCACTTTCATCTTGGATATATACCATGGGGTTTGCAAAATTTCACAGTTTGTTTGGGTTTTTGTGTTATATATTGTACTTTGTCTCTTATGCTTTGTATGTGACTTTAGTTATATTTTGTCTTCATCTTTTAGTGTGATTTTTGGTATTTTATTTTTTATTAAAATTTTAAAATATTTGTTGTATGAAATGATAGTTAAACAATGAGTGATTTAATTCCCACTTGAGATTTAAGACAAATGATTAAACTTTTAATCGTTTGTACTAAATCTCAAATTGTTTGATCGAACAGTTTGGAAAAATTATAGTTCATAATTTGCTATAATTTGTACTTGAAGTATATGGATAAATTTGATAAAATTTTGGATGAGATCATTTTGTATTGTTCTTCTGATGAAGTTTGTTACAAATATGGTATGGATCGAAGCTGGATGAATGAATGTCATATTAGTGAAGTGTATGAAAATGAAATCTCCGAGTTCTTGCAATATGTTTAAGAACACGCAAACTCTACAAATAGGACATATTTTTTGTCATTGTGTTCAGTGTCTTAATCAAATACGTCAAGATTTGAGCAAAATGCATGATCATTTATTCATTTATAGTATCATGAGGAGTTATACAATTTGGACATGACATGGAGAAGTATTATACAAGCCTGCAACATGATGAGGAACAAATTATGTAGACGAATAAATGAGTGGCCATTTAGAGGATATGGTATGTGATGTTGGTGAAGAAAGTTTTGGAGGAGCTTATTATTTGTATGATTCTCTTAAGAACAATTCAGAGGATGAGTTGTATCCAGGATACTCCAAATTTACACGCTTGTTGCCAATTTTGAAATTGTTTAGTTTAAAAGTAAGAAATTGATGAATTAATAAAAGTTTCACAAAATTGTTAGAATTACTGAAAGAGATGCTTCTAGAATATAACATGTTACCTATCCATAATTATGAGGTGAAGAAAATTCTACGTCCAATGGGTTTGGAATACCAAAAGATACATACAAGTTCCAAAGATTGTATATTGTACAAAGATGAGTATGCTTCATTGAAGCTGTGTCCCACATGTGGTTTATCGTAGTTTAAAAAGAAAGTTGATGGAAATAATAGTGATGAAGACAATGATGGTCCACCGAGGTGATGTGGTACTTGCCTGTAATACCTAGGTTGAAATGATTGTTTTCCATTAAAGAATATGCGAAGAATCTTAAATGGCATGTTGATGGAAGAAAGTGTGATAATATTCTTTGACACCTAAGTGATTCCCCAAAATGGAAGAAGATTGATGAAACATTTCCATAATTTGGTATAAAGCCAAGAAACTTAAGACTTGCACTAGCTACTGATGATATGAATCCTTATGGGAGCTTAAGTAAGAAACCTAATTCATGGTACAACAAATTCAAATACTATATTCAAATATTGGAACTCATTGATCTTTAAGTTATTAATTTTCGTATGTCAAGTTATGACCTGAATATTTGATTATTTTCTTTGTCATGTTTAGGGTAACAAGAAGCCATATTCATGGGTATGTGACTACTATGTCATGTCTTAGATCAAAACCATCATTTGAGTAGGAATTAGATATGATTGGAGTAAGGTAATAATACATATATTTCACATATTGCAAATCATATTGAATTAATCATATTGAATTTTAAACATTAAAATGAAAATATAATGAAGTTGTGTTATTTTTATAGTGCTTCAAGAATCCATCACTAATAATAGTGGACACAATTGAAAAAATACGACAGGAATGAGTTGCATTTCTTTTGGAGCGATGGAGTTAGGACTTACACACACCATATCAGTATTTGTTTTTTTTCCTGAAGACATACATTAGTTTAGTTTTAATACTTTTAGTTTTGATAACTTTAGTTTTGATAGCTCTAATTTATAATTTTAGTTTTGATCAGTTCATACTTTAAATTTGAAATTATGTTGGTTTTCTGCTTTTGAAGTTTAGTAAAATTGTAAAAACAAATAAATTATTTTAAAAAACTGACAGTTGATGTTTCTTATAATGCGTTAACGAACGTCAATTGACATCGACTATAATAAGGATTGATGTCAATTTGTCTCATTTTTTTATTTTTAAAAATTTGCACTCAATACTCCATGTGAATGTCATCACTGAACGTCAATTGGCCAATGTTCATTCGATGTTACTATTTTATTTCAACCTCAAATTAAAATTTTTAACTAAAATGTCAAAGTTTACATTAATATCAAAGATAAAAAGTTAACTAACATCAGAACTTATTATTTTAATAATAATTTAATCAAATAAAAAAATAACACATAAATAGTTAACTAAATGCAATTATGATCATGCAAAGATTTTGATGTGCAATCACTAGTACAAAAATGGTTTTTTATACCTATTAAAAAAGGCTTTTTATACCTATTTTGGAGTAGATATAGAAGCAAGGGGTATAGAAAGTTTATAATTTTTTATACCTACTATTAAAATGGTGTAGAAAGTTTTACTTTTTATACCTGTGTTGTGCATAATAGGTATAAAAGTCTTATATTTAGTTAGAGAAAATTTTTCTTTTTATACCTACTGGTGCTATAATAGGTGTGAAAAACAAGACTTTTTATACCTGCTGTGGCTTTGACTGGTGTAAAAAGTGATGTTGTTTTTAAATATTTTATTTGTATATACTACTATCCATATCCAGACCTGCATAAGATTCAATCCCAGAATACAGTTTAAATAATCAATAACAAGTAACATAATCAATATTGTTTTCATTAACACATCAAAATGTAATATTTACTTAACAAAGTTCCTAACTATATTTACCTAACATAGTTTCTTAACATATTACACATAAAATAGTTCCTAAACTCAAAATGTAATATTGAAACATCCAATCATTTACAAATGGTTAAAAAAAATGTAGCCCACTGCTCCCGAACATCCTTTATGACATGTTGTTCCATTGGAGACGTGTCATCAAATATCTACACAATGAATAGTTTGAGTAAAGTTATAATATTAATGGCTTAATATCTTAGTTATAAAATGTTCACATTACCAATTTCCATGAGTCAACGACATTTGCGGATATAACTTTCTGCATGTGCCTCATGACATAATATCCGCACTCAAAGCTTCCCGGTTGGCGTGAGCACTACAAGTTAAATTTATAAAGTATCATAAAATTTATAATTGTATTTATAGTTTGAAAGATTAACTACTTACAGTTGGTGCAATGAATTGCAACTTCTTTCTAGAGACGATATGTGTTCCCTGCAACCTTGAATATGCCTCAACCACTCTATAAAGTTAAATGTACATTGAAATGAGAACTTAGTAAAATCAAATATGTCTACACTACAAATAAATTATTAAAAACTTACAATATTAGTGTATTTTTAATTGCCAAAGTGTGAGGTTTTTTGTGCAATGAACATAAGAGAACTACAAGAAACTGTTGAGGAAGAATTAGTAACAATTGCCAGTGACCCCTGTAGATTCAAACAATAATAGTGTTAAATAACATTTAC